ATCATGTGGCCTGCCTGGTCTTTCCATGCATTCTCCTTTGCTTCAAGTTGAAATAAAAGAGTACATTCTGAGCTGTGAGGAGTACTGAAAAAATGTATAAAGGTTTAGCAAACCTGTTTTGCTGAGCTCCTTGGGGGTTCCTAATTTTAGAAGGCCCAAAAGCTAGCATGCATGCTCTAGCTTTTTAAGCAAATTATAAATTAATGTATGAATGTATGTGTCTACAGGAGGAGAAGGGGGCCATAGTTGAACCAGGTTTCCAGGTTTGTTGTTTTTTTTCCTTTAAATTCTCAATTGGGTTTGATTTAAGAGGGTCAATACATGTTTCAAGACAAACACTACATAAAAAGCTCAACCAGTTTTCAGGTACAGGGAATAGCATACTCAGTTAAAAGGAAGTTTGAATATGTTGTCAATCAGTCCCCAGCAGTCACAGTCCATGTTTGAACCATTACGTCTGCTGGACTATTACTATGCTGGTATTACTGAAACTCTTTAATTAAAGTAAATCGGTTTTATTGTCAGAAATAATAACATCTGGTATTGTGTCTCAAACAGATGTTAAAGTGCTGCCATAATCAGCAGATATCTGAGAAGAGACACTGATTTTGAGTAAAGAGTCTATCACTATGAAGGATTTTTTTTCTTGGAATGGACCAACAAAATCAATAGAAAATCTGGACCTTTCCTTCTTGGTAACCTCCTAGAGGATAACTCGTGTAGCAAGGAAGTTTTCTTAGAAAGTGTGGAGGGTCTGACAAAGACATCAAGTTAAGAATTAGCACATGCATTATGTGCTTTTGGCTCCAATCCATGCAACTGGATAAAATATTAAGCGAACAAAATTGCCATTGTTACACATAGGGGTCTATTTATAAGCAATTCACAGAGTCATTGGCCCTGTGAGTCTCTGTGCATGTTCATTCTGTGTGACTGGATGAACAAAAGGAACATTCTTCTATATTTTCTTTATATGTGGAATATACTATCCAATGTCATCGTGTTTTATTGCATGATCTACTTGATTGGATATAAATTGAATGGTTTGTTCGGGCAGGTTCGCAATTTTATGCCAATGCATAGAGAAGGTGGAGGCTAAAGCATTATCCTAAAATACAGTATGACTGTACAAATATATATTAGTAATGATTAATGTATTTTCTTAATAGGCAAGTGTACAGCGTTTGTACAGTCATACTGTATTTTAGGATAATGCTTTAGCTTTATACACACACACAAACACACACACACTAACCAATGGAGCAAACAAATACACGGTTCCTACCAGTTCAAACTACTGTTTCCTCATAAATAAATCTGTAGACTGGGGGCTCTCTACATACGGAGTTATATGAAAGAAAGCAGATCTGACAAAGGACGTACATACACATTTACAAGAATGCCATTAGAAATATTTCCTGTCAGACTTTAATCCCCCTACCATCACAGCCCTTTTTTTTGCATGGGATGAGTTAAATAGAAATTATATTAGGGCAGCTAGAATTGATTCATGAAAAGGGACTTCAAGTAGATGGTAAGATTTCCCTGTACCCCAAAACAACTTTTTGCAGAAGGCAGTGCGATGCCATGTTAGTAACATGAAGATGTGTATCAATGGCCGACAACTGGGCTGCAATTCAGCAGCACACCATTTCTGTAAACAGCCTGGGACAGGAAATACACAACTGAAGCACACTGGCTGGATCTCCAGGGTAATTCTCTGAAATAATTATAGTAGTTGCATTAGCACAGTTTACATCATGCAATGAGGATGTACATGTGAAAAAGTTATTTATTTTGGGTGCAGTTCCACATTTAATACTAGAAGCTGCATATTCAAGGAAGGCAGTTATAATAGCTACATTCAGTAGGCAAATCTTTATTAATATTCTTATTTCTAAACTAACAGTTGCATATCGATATGGTACAGAGGCATTGAGGTTACTTTATTTTCAGCAATTGAATTATTAGCAGTCTGATCAAGATATAGTTGAGTGCTTTGCATATACACTGAGTGGCCAGAATATTATGACCACCCCATCAGTACTTCGTTGGGCCACCTTTTGCCTTCAATACTGCGGCGATTCTTCTTGGCATTGACTCGAGATGTTGAAAGGTGATGCAAGGAATCTGACACCATGCCTGATGAATAGCACTGTCCAGTTCTGTGAGATTTGATGGTTGTGGAACCAGCTGCCTAATGGCTCTTTCAACTTTGTCCCACAAATGCTCGATTGGACTGAGATCTGGTGATTGTGGGGGCCACCTAAGCAAGGTAAAGTCTCCCTCATTTTCTTGAAACCACTCCTGCACAATACGAGCACCGTGGCATGGAGCATCTCCATTGGGAAGAAGCCATCTCCATTGGGATACGCCATCAACATGATAGGATGAACTTGATCAGCAACAATACTTTGGTATGTTGTGCTATTCAGACGTTGTTCCACACAAACTAAAGGGCCCAAATCATGCCAGGAAAACATGCCCCAAACCATAACACTGCCCCCACCTGCTTGAAGAGTTGTACTCATGCATGTGGGGTGCATGTTTTCATGCTGTTTCTGCCAAATTCTCTCTCTGCCATCTGCATGATGCAACAGGAAACGTGATTCATCGGACCACATTACTTTTTTCCAATGCTCGACTGCCCTTGTGTTCCTGTGCGAATTGGAGACGTTTTATCTTGTTAACTGCAGACAACAAAGGTGTTCGAACAGGCCTCCGGCTTCCATATCCCATACGATGCAGTGTACGGCGAACAGTGCGTTCAGAGATCATTTGAGTGGACCTCTGATTAAGATCTGCATTAATTTGATGCACTGTTGCCCTTCTGTTGTCTTGTACCAGTCTTGCCACTCTCCGTTCTGCCCTAACATTGACTAGTCGCTGACGGCACAATTCACACGTTCAGACCCAGAATTTCGGTTAAATATACGATTGATTGCTTTACAGTACATATATATTTTGAAACAATTGACTGAGATTTTAACCTTAATCAAACTACTTTAGGGCCTGTGTTGACGGACTTGTGTTCACCTCAAGTGAAGGTAGGTAGAGGCAGCATAGGCTGCCTATGCAGTTTTTTTGGCATCACCTAAAGGTGGACAGAGTAGGAGATAGCCAGAGAAATAGGGATAGGGAGTTTCAGAGGATGGGATAGGCTCCTGGAGGCAAGTATGGGAGGAGGGGGTGAGGGAGTTTGAAGATCTTGGGCAGAGCAAAGAGAATGGTTTGGATGGAATTTTGAGACTAGGTTGGTGATGTAGCTTGGGCGAGAGTTGTGGATGACTTTATATGTTGTTGTTAGTATTTTTAATTTATTTTTTTTGGGAGCCAGTGAAGGTATTCACAAAGAGATGCGGTGGACACTGAACGGTTGATACAGTGAATGAGCCTGGCAGCAGCAATGATGATTGATTGAAGGAGGGATAGCCTGTGTAGATGTAGGAAGGTTTAATAGTAGGAGTAGTGGCCATTAGTTTTAGAAGTTAGCAAGTCATAAGTGAGATTTAGAAGGGAAGTTTCAATGGAGAATTGCAGGCAGAAGCCAGAGTTTAAGGGGTCAAGAAGGTTGTTATTGATGTAGCCCACATGGTTGTAGACTGGGCATTCTAGGAGTTTGGAGGTAAACAGGAGCAGGGAAATGGGTCTCTGGTTGTTCAGACTAGTGGGGTCCAGCGAGGGCTTTATAAGAATGGTGGTGACCGGTGCATGTTTTGGAGAAAAGGGAAAGATGCCAGTGGAAAGGTAGAGATTGAAAATGTAGGTTAGAGAACACAGAAAAGAGCAAGAGGGAGACTGGAGTAGTTTTCAGGGAAAAGGGTCCAGGGAAACAGGTGGTTAGGTGGACGTCAGAGAACAGTCTAGCAACTACTTCTGTACAGTAGTAAAAGGGCCACAAAAGAAAGCCCTGGCAGTGACTAAATTAGTTGGTGGAGGCAGTAAGAGACAAAGTAGAGAGTTAAAGGTTGACAAGTGTTGATGAGGACTGGATAAGAGGGCACTAATAAGACTTATATATCAGGTCTCTTTGCAGTTTAGAGGGAGAAATATTTTAGAAGGCAGATTTATAAAGGGTGACATCTAGCTGTGATTTAGTTTTATTACACACTCACTCAAGATCATGGCTATGTCACTTGAAACTTTTGATTTGGTGTGTTTGAATTGTTAATGATCTTGGAAGCATCTCAAACTAATGCGATTTACACAAGCCCAGTTTAAAGAGTCTTTCCACCAAAAAAAAGCTGATATTTCAGTTAGAAATGGAGTCTGAAGACTTCAGTTGTGAGCTTTCAGTGCCATAGTTACTGGCTGTGTTGCCAGCTATCTTACGATTTTGTGTGCTCCAACCGACTTTTGAGTGGTCCAAATTCTTGCTGTTATATTCTAACTATCATAAAATAAGTGAAAAAAACAACATGGACAATGCAATCGCCAAAGTCCTCACTACTAGAATCCCGATGAGATATGCAAAACTAAATGTTTTAACTCTCCAGTAACTGCAAAAAATGAACATTTTAGATAAACTATTTAAATCCAAGGAGTCATTTCACAAAGATTATTGTATAGGTTATGGCTCCTTGAAATATTGCAAACTTCTAATTTGATGAGTTGTCTATTTAGGATAGAAGGAAAAAGGAACTATTTGAGGTAGGAATAGAAAAACGAATTCATGAGAAATCAAGGCATCAAGAGTCATGAGGAATCAAGACATCAAAAGTCATGAGAAATCAAGGCATCAAAAGTCAAATACTCACTTCATGCAAAAATGCCAATGTGATAGCTATGTTTGCAAACATTTTATGAGAAATGTAAAAAAATGAACGTTAAAAAAAAATAAAAATCTTTGGAACCCCTGTGATATATCATAAACCCTTAGATGGTTTAACTTATTAGCATCTTACAAATACTAATTGCTTTAGGTTTGATGACTCTTCAAGTCCACAAATCTTGTATACATTTTATCTTTCATCTTAAAAAAAAGTATAAGAGGAGTTTACCTGTTCATGTGTAACAGGAATAAGTCTTTGTTTGGAAAGCTCTCGCAGAGTATTCAGATCTGTCCTCATGTCAAGTTTACAGCCTACTAGAATAATTTTGGCACTTGGGCAGAACTCCTGAGTCTCTCCTTGCCACTGTGAAAACAAAACATCAACTTAGTAAACATTCATTGACTGCTGGTTCATAATAACTTTTCACTTTTCTGCATTACCCGCTTTGTTTGGCTAAATACAAGTCATGTAATAGTTTAAAAATATTCAGAATAAAAAATAACCTACAGAAAGAATCTACAATCAAATCAATTTGTTTTGTAAAGGTAAACCCTAACCAAACCTGACATATTAATTTTGGTCTCAAAGCCCACGACCTTCAAGTTTGTATTGTTTTTTTCTCCTTTGGTAGGTTCCTCTGACTTCATCTCCTACAATCAGCATGGCAGGAAGTTGAAGGAAATCTCTCCAAATATGCATTTTATTAGTTTAGAACATTTTAAAATTTTGATTTCTTCGTGGGTTCCCACTGGGGACATCTACTCTTATTTGTATAACAGTGTAGTTTTCATATAGTTAGAGGCCTTTTGGAACTTGAACATTTGAAACCTGGTAAAGCTCTACAGGTAAAGAAAATCAACAGGATACCCATGGATAGTTTAAAAAAAGCAGTAGCATTTGCAAATAGGTTTTAGCCCTGTATTAATGTCACAGATAATGTTTTATTTACTTACAGGCTTACTCATTAGTGGTGAAAACACAGACTATTATCTCAAGTGTTCTGTGTACTTGCCATGTTACAGTTCACATACATCTCCAATGTCCATGAGCAAGATGATATATAGATGATATATAAGTGACTGATGAGCTGCAAGCAACAACTTTGCCTAGGTAGTCGAAAACAAGGTCAGACACGGGTGACAATGAGCAAGGAATCTTCTATGGCTGGAGCTGGACCTGTGTTACAACTATAATACCTGTTTGCTGTGCTCGGTTTATAGCAAATGAATAAATGATAAGCTCAGCTCCAGAATCCGAAGCCCCTAGAGTTTATTCACTTGTTTAATGGAACACATTTCTTCTCCATGTTGAATGCTAAGTAGCCGAAATATTCTTATTTGTTTGGAACTCTTGGCTGGAAACAGACCTCAGCTTCACATAACAAGGGATCAGATTAAGCACAAACTTCTCAGTGGAGGCATGGAGAGATGTTATGCATTGACAGCAAAAAGATACTGTCACAGCTTCCCTAATACACAATTCTGAAAACAGGTCTGTGCTACGCTAAAAAATGGATGAAGCAGTGTCAGCAGCTCTGGATATTGATACAGAAACAACTAAAGCTGACCATGCACGATAACACTGCTCTTGGGCTACCCATGAGGTGTTTTCGGCCAGATCAGGTGACAGTCCCATGTCTGTTAGTATTCACTGCTCAGAGGAATTATCGACTAAACAGGTAACAATGTTTTATCCAATCAATATTTACCACGAGAGATTCGATATACAAACCTGAGAGATACTTTGATTTTTTTTTTTTTGCATATGTAAATATAAACGAGTGGGGAAATATCTTCTCATGAATGCATCCTCTAATCTGACTAGATATCTGATCAAATATGTATCATACTTTAAAGGCTAACTGAACCTTCAGTTTAATTGAGCTAACCTCTGCAGAGATTACTGCTTCCACATGGGGATCAAGGACCCCTCTTTGCAGAATGATGACAGGGGACATGCTTTTCTACACACACATTTTTAATTTGATGCACCCTGTATTTAGCCAATTCAAACTAAGGGGGTTATTCACTAAACTGCCGAAGGATTAAGCCGAACCTTCATCTAAAGGAATCTTCAGTTCAGCCAAACCGAAGGGCTGCTGTACAGGCTATTCACAACAGCATCTGCATTGGGAGGGTGCTTTTTCAGGGGAGACAGGGGCCTCAACCCCAGCCCGTTGGTTGTGAGGGTCTGCGGGCAGGGGGACTTATTTGCATCTGGGTACCCCCATCATAAAGGGGGCACTCAGATGCCGCCACCCCCCCCCCTCTTGTGAATAAGTAAGGGGTACTTGTAGACAAAGAAGATGATAAAGTAAATGAAGACCCCCAGACTTTTGGAAAAAGTACTTTAATTGAACAAAAAGCACACAGTTTTTGACAATTCCTTTATTTAGAAGGATACAACACTGCGATACACAGATCAATCATGATGACAGACGGGCGCGGACTCGTCGAAACAAAAACAAAAATTCCGCCTCCTGCATGACGGTAAATTACCTATTTGACAGTTTCCGGCATAATGTAAACAGATGGAAGGAGCCAGCGTTGATGTCACCGCTGTTGACATTCGGCCAGCACCTGTCAAATCACTCTTGAAAGTACCTGTCCGAATAAAAACAGATGGGCGTCTCGAATAGGTTGGCTCCGTCCATTTGTTTCCATGCCATGACAGCCCACTTTCCACAAATGACATGTAAACACATGGGTGGAGCCAGCCTAAATGTCACAGCTGGCTCTGCCAATCTGTTTTCATTCCGCCACCACGTTTCAAGAGTGATTAGACAGGTGGTGGCCGAATGTCAAGAGATGGGCGGAGCCAACGGAAACATCACCGCTGGCTCTGCCTGTTTAAATTTGGCCGGCAACTGTTAAATAGCTCATTTAGCGTTGTGATTCCGTCGGGATTTATTTTATTTCGACGAGTTGGCGCCTGTCAGCTATCGTGATTGACCTGTGGATGGCAGCGTGTATGTACTGTAATATTCAGGGCGGATATGACCCGTAGCCAGCCGTATCAGACAATAAACTTTTATTCATTTCCACAAAAAGTCAAAGTAAATGGCTTATATTCAGCAAACACAAGACTTTGGCTCAGCGCCTGTATACTAAGTCCCACCTCAGGGTTAGAGTCCCAGCCTCAGGGTTAGAGTCCCTGCCTGTGCACAGAGGGTTCCAGTATGGACGCAGGTGTCCCAGCAGTGTCTCGGCAGACTGTATTCTACAGCTTAACACACATAGCCATGTGTCCTGTTCCAAACACTCCACACAGCCAGACTGACTGGCTTCCTGTTCCTTTTTAACACACCCTCTGGCTGGTGGTTTAACCCTTTCATTACCAGAACTGGCTGTAGTCAGAGATGGAGGCTCTGAATACAAGGTGACTTTAACGGGACCACCACCTAAACAAGGGAGGGATATACCGTCCATCCAGGACCCATTCCTGGTGTCCTGTACA